TGGGAAGATCCCACAGCAGGACCTTAGGCCAGAATGACGTCCCATCAAGAACATGAGACCCACCGGCGGCCAAAACAAAGAGAACGTCCAAGGGTACCCTCCCCAGGATGCACAATAACATCCAACACACACGAAGAACATTAGGGTACCCTCCACGAGCCGACCTCGATCCTGTACCTCGGTCCGACTGCAGGAGCACCGCCGCCGATCACGCTTGCCATTTCGGGGGGGGCCTCTGCTGACAGTGGAGACTGGCAGCATGGGTTGCGAGCGCTGGCTGAACGCAAATTCGTTGCGACCGCTGCGGAAGTCGAGCAGTAGCGAGTGGCCGAAGAGATCTATAGGGCACGCGCAAATGGCGACCTCTTAGAAATATCCAGCGAGGTTTGCCTTCTTTCTCCGTGTTCGCGAGAGTAGTCACTGACATGTTACGCTCATCAACTGCCAGGGGGAACGGGCTCTTGGGAAGTGCATGATTGGCGTGCGGCCGCAAAGTGAAGAGTTGCATGTATGATTTGTGCCTGGCGCATTAGATGGACGTACATTGGACACAAGATGACGTAACAACAAGATTGGACACAGGATGACGTGTACGGGTAGACATTCAAATCCAAAATCATTCGAGAAATGTCGCTGGTTGGGGCTGTCAGACCATTTGAGCAAAGCCTACAGCGCAATGGTGCATATGCTGATTACGAGACCCATACGGTAGGGAGAAACAATTAATGGCTCACACTCGGCTCAAAGCTCTGAAGTCACCCAGCCCTCTGACGGCTGTGCGCACATACCTGACTACAATTATTCAGCTCTGTCTACCCGGAATGTGCGCAGGATAATTGGAAAGATGGCGAAACGCGGGGGAGCCGCGACAGGCTCGACACCAGTTAGAAGGACAGGCCGCCAGGGTAAAGTAGAGGTGACCAACATAAAGGACATGATTGACCAGGTGAGGATCGAAGATCAGGATGCAAGGAGGGCAGCAGAGGAGGTTCATAATAAGATGGAGGACATGGAAATGCAGGTGGAAGGTATCCAGAATGACCTGGAGAACTATACTTCACAAAATAGCAAATCGAGCAGATGATCGACAGCAAAGTGCAGGACGCAAAGGACAACATGAACAACAGCAGTGACCACCCCAGGAAGGGTAAATGGCAGCGTCATGAGACGGAGGGAGAAAGGCAGATGCGGAGAAGCAGATGCGGGGTAAACAGATGGTTGCCTTTGGCTTCGATGAGAGTGGTTCCGCAGAACGGGTGGTGGAGGATTGATAACCTTGCTCAACCGGATGAACTATGGGCAACAAGTCGGACGCAATTGTGCTGACCACGACCGGCTCCGCGAAATTGGGTGTCATCGAGCCACTTCCGTCCAATCGAAAGTCAACTTCTGGAAGAAGGTGTGTGATAAACTGAACGACGACGAAGATGCTTTCGGCGATGTGTTCTTCCGGAACAACCTGACCAACGATGATGAGGACAGAGAAGAACGGATGGGCTATGCAAAATACCGCTTGTCCAAACATCCCAACCACTAAACCAAACATGTGAAAATCATATGGCCGAAGGGGATGGCTGTCATCAAAGAAAGAGAGGGGCAAGAGAGGAAAATTGCGTGGTTCGATGAACATGGAAACTGGCATACTACTAAAACTGGGACGGTACTGGAAACGGCGGTTGAAGAGTCCATGCGGAAGTGGCGGGAGAAGGTGAACGCCGGACCAACCGAAGAGAGCGAGTGACGCCGCGACGACGGCACAGGCTGGCAGCGCCAAGCTGCCAACAATACCATAACGAGCTCAGTACCTGCACGGCCGTGCAGAGCAGGACTCCTCATTCAGGCTTCAGATCCGGATCCACGAGGAGACCTTGGGAAAACGGGTACACAATAGATTTTTGGAGATTCGTCTAGGGAGGTCGAGGGCTTCTTTGATGTGTTACTTTCAAGTTCTCTGCAATCACGGTCCATTGGGGGTGGCCAGGGGGTAAATATGGGTGTAGATGGAAACTTCCCTGCAGGATCCCTTCAGCCTCCCAAGAACTACTCAACTACCAATCCAAAAGACGCACCACCGACAGCCCGGACAGGCGTCACGACGGGAACTTTGCACACGGATGCATGTATGGACACTTTACGTGCGCAAGTTTACACCAACAACGTACATTCGCTGCAAACCACGCTTCGGGAGAAAGAATTATTGATGGAGTTGCTTTGTGTCGAATGGGATGTGGTTCTACTTACCGAAACGTGGACGGACAAGAAATAAGAAAGATGGAGGAACGAGGATGGTCATATGTTTTGTGATTCCGGCGGGCTAGGAGGACAAAGCGGGACAGGGATACTACCACATAATCGGTGGACGCGGGGATTCTGTGCCTTCCACACTGTCTCCGAAAAACTCTGCGCATTAGACGTTCGCATTTCCAACAGAAATGTCAAAGTTTGTTGTGTACATACCACATGGTGGAGCTGACGACGAGGATGTAGAGGGGATTGATTTGCATCTTGACCGCTTGGTACGTGGGGCCCGGCGGACAAACAGAATGTGTTTGTTACTTGGGGATTGGAACGCTACAATTGGTACACGCAGCATTGGAGATGACGAAACCGTAATTTGAAACAACGGCGTGGGATGCAAAAACGAACGGGGGCACTGGTTAACGGGATGGGCAACCACACATAAACTTACTATCACAAATACGATGGTACACAAGAGCTCCGCAATGGACGCACCATAAGCTGGCATCAAGCATCAATTGAACTACTGCCTGTTGGATGCACGGCGGACACATATCGTCGATGACGCGGCGGCGACGAACGATGTAATTCTTGGGCAAGACCGTCGTGCTCTCAAGGTCACTTAGAAGTGAAGCCGAGAGACGAAGAGGAGTACAATAAACAACTTGATGTGCGATTGGCGCCCCTACCAACGATCGACAATGCCAGCCAAACGTCGAGAAAGCGAGAAAGCAAGGAAACAGCTACACATTTTGATTGCGCAACGGCGGTCAGCAAGACAGAGTGGAAACAAGAACGATGTGAAGCACGCATGTAAAATCATTGGTAAAGAAATCCGTGCAATGGCCAGGGCGCGGAAGAGCGCAAGGATAAAGCAAGTTCTGAGAGAGTTGAAGATTTGCAGCTGATCCAAAGCTTTCGCAAACATGGAAAGAAGTCATGCGTGTCGTCGGTCCTAGACGCTGGGGGTAAAGAGCAGAGGCAAGCACGAGATAGCTGAAGTATTTGATGTATTCTTCGAGTCTCTGCACAAAGGCAAAAGCGAAGCAATTCAATGATGTTATTTGCGATCGTGCCGCTGCTGTCACGCTGGAGGAAGTACGACGCCAGCTGAAGAAGATGCATGGGGGCAAGGCTGCAGATGAAAATGACGTGGTGGCTGAACTACTGCGCAAAGGGAGCGGGCTGTTGATGCAAATGGTACCAGTCGTTTTCACGGCTGTATTGGACCTTGAAACATCCATGCCAGCCTACTGGAAGGCATCCTCAATTAGAGTACTATTCAAGAAAGGGGGCGAACGCCTACAAAGAAACTACAGGCGAATATGCATGATTCCAATCTTATATAAGATTTTCAGCAGGATGTTGTGCGGAACAATCTAAAACAAGCTCGTTGCAGAGCAGTCTGTCGATCAAGCCGGTTTCAGACGGGGCAACGTGCCTTCGTCCTTCTTGCCAGCCAGAAATCTTCTAAGAACATTTCGTGCAAACCACAAACGGTTCTTAGAACATTCTGTGGTGGGTCTATAGGAAAGCCAGGACGCTTCGCCACTGCTCGAAGTCTTCGCGTCTGTTTTCTTCGTGGGCTAAGCGAGCCCTACCCCCGGACCGGCGAGCGTGTGCCGGGCGCCGCTGGCCAGGGCAGGACCCAGGGAGCAGAAGCGCCAAGCTGGCACGAACTCGCGATGCAGGCCACCCAATGTCGACGAGATGCGTGGTTCCAGTTGAACCAGAAGCAGTGAGAGTTGCGGTCGCCAATGCAGCTGTCGCGGCCATATGCAATCTCGAAGTCAGCATCACGAACCCTTCTTACCAGGCTATCGCCGACCGTTTGCATCAAACACTCCACGATGCGTATGGTGGGCACTACAAGTACAAAGGATGCTGTTGCAATCCAACTGATTGGTGGCCCAGGGAGCTCAATTCAGCACCAGACGCAGTGAGCCACATCGTATTGGAAGCCGAGGCTGATTAAGACAAACTGTCAGAGTTAGAGATTGCAGCCGCCCTGAAGCGGGACTACTGCATGCAGACCCGCTGTGACGGTGGGTACTCAGGAGGTCAAGGTGCGGGCAGCATCGTCGTGTTCATGAGAGGCGGGGCGCAGGCGAACAAGAAGTTCTGTTCCTCGGGGCCCGTGGCAGCCGTGGCATTTCCTTATTAGGAACGGAACCTGCTTTCCAAGCCGGAATCGTCGCAACGGAACTCAGCGTAGACATGGCCATGGCGGCAGCGACAGTCAACTGGCACGAGAGAGGCAAGAACCGGATCAGATTCTGTTGACTTGGGCAGCGTAAATGCACAGTCGAACCGTGTTACGGATTGGGCATCCGTTGCATTGTACCAGTCGTTCTAAAGTTTCATTAAATTCACACGTTTCACAGGTCATCTTGTATTCCGACGTACTGCCGGCGACCTGATCAGGAGAGCGTCATTGAAAAAACAAAGAGCGTTCGCACAGCCTATCCCAACAAAGCACCCTAATAGCAGCAAAGCGCGGCCATTTGCACCTCAGTGTAGTTCGTGATGAGGGTCGTGGCCGCCTGGACCGAAAGTGTGGCCAGCACTGAGGCGAGAGCACGATTCCCGAATACACCATAGGGAGTTCTGAAGCGAAACGGCTTGGCGCGCTCCGCGCGCCAGGGAGGGGGGGGGGGGTCAACGCCGATCCAAGAAATCTCAAACAGATTATCTGAATGCCAGTTGCTCTTCCTGTAAGAAAGGTCCGCGGTCGACTGAGAGCAGTTTCGTGGTTTATTTGATCAGGGGTGTTCGAATTTGCGCCGATCCAAGAGATCCGGGCGGAACTCCGACAGTTCATGCTTATGCTGGTGTTTGTACTTCGAGTCCTGCTCTCCACCCGCGCCCATGGCGTGGCAGGCGGCGGGCGCGTCGAAGCGCTCGGACAGGCCGAAGTCCACCATCTTCAGGGCTGACTCGGGACCCTGGCCCAGGAACTTGAAGTTCTCCGTGCTGACGTCGTTGTGGGCGATGCCGTGGGAGTGGCAGCAGAAGAGCGCCTTGAGCATGTGGCGCGCGCACATGGCCGCGAGCCGCTCGCCGAAGCGGCCCTCCAGTCTCATCCTGTGCCCTAGACTGAGGCCCTCCAGCAGTTCCATCACCAGCAGCAGCTCGGACCCCTCCTCGAAGTACTCGATCAGCCTCACGATGTGGGGGTGGTCGAGGGCAACGAGTGCTTCCACCTCGCGGTGGAGCATCACGAGCTGCCTCGGATCCGACGGAATGCGGATCGACTTCACGGCGCGGCCGATCCTTCGAGCGTCATCTGACCACCTCACCCGTCCTGGCTGGGCCCATCCAGGGCCCAGGATCGGTGTTGCACGCCTCGCTGGCCAGGCCAGACGGACGCCTCCCTGGCCAAGACAGGCGGGCGTGCACATCGACCACGGGCGCTGGATGGGCCCGGGCGGGGCCGGGGAGGTGGCCAGCCGGCGCGGGTCGGTAATCCTCACCAGGTTGTCGCTGCACCTCTGAACCCGCCCGAAGGAGCCCTCGTCCTGGGGAAGCCGTGAAGATGCCCACCGCGCTGCTCCCCCTGGGACCTCCCCAGGGGTGCGCTCGGACCAGGACTTCGAGGCGAGCCCGGCCGTGGCGACGAGGGCCTCCCGAGGGGGGGGGGAGCCGAAAAGGGGAAGAGGAGGTAGAGGGAAAAGAACTATGCACAT